ATATTTTCCACAGTCCTGCGAGATAATCTTAATCGTGAGAAAAAATCTTTTTCATCCTACTCTTCAAAATGATTAGGCCTGTGCCGAATTACTTTGGGCATTCTAGGTTCCTTATTGCTGCTATATGCATTAACGTCATAATCCATTTTTTTAAATTAATTAAACTTTTTTATTATAAAGGTAGGTATTTGATTTTGCCTTTATTTTTAACTATGTATAGTTGGTTATAAACATTTATGACATATAAATATTTGGTTAACGTCGATTTTCGTGTTAATCACTACTTCAGGTAACAATAAACTTAATTTGACTTTAACATGCAGTTTGGCTGCTAATATAAGATTGTAATACGGTTATTCAAATTAACTTCAAATTAATTTCTGATTAACATTTAACATTCTATTGTAAAACCGGGCAAGAGTTGCAAGATTTGTACCTAAGATCGTAATCCAACTGATTCATTAGAGGTTTATAAGGAACTAAAAGATACATAAATCGAAAATGTTAATTAATTGCAGATATAGCGCGAGGTGATCTATTTTTCTAAAATATTTTCAATGCGCTGTCACCCCTAGTTGAACCGGAAGTGACTTTTTGTTTTTTTTAATGGAACCCTGTAAATATTATTGCATTTTTTAATTCAAGGTAAAATTTTGAAGCTATTTAATATTGAATCGTTTTCCTATCTTCAATTGTTTTTAAGATATATTTTTTTTGGACAGATGTGATAAATAACTTAAATGTATTACCAACAATTGCAAAGTTGAAAAGTTCATTCTTGGTATACATATTAACAAAGAAGTATCCAATCAGGAGCCATTCAAAGTATTTCAAAATGTTAGACAGGGTGTTTCGTATTTCCATTTACTCTTTTTCACTTTAAATGCCATTAACTTTTTTATTTCAAATGGACTGATCACAACATTTGACGCTGAATCTTATCATGTATTGATATTACCAAAAATGTAAAAAACACTCTTTTGACTCGTGTATTATCACATGTGTGCTTTGGATATTATAAATATATATAAATTGACAAATCGTTAATTGTCTCATGATGGCTGATAAGTTATCAGTGATAACAATACTTTTAATAATCGCATTTCTAACATGATTACTGAAGGTAAACATTTACTTTAGTTTTGTTTTATTTTATTTTTTAATATAATTTTTGTAATATCATATCAATTGTTAATTTTTTGTATTTTTGCATTACAGATTTTATTTGCTCCAAGCTCATATTGGAATCTCTACTCCAATATAGTCGAATGCTTATGAAAGCCCATAATAATGAGGATACCAAAAAAAGTCTTGAAGTTCAGGTACACTGAGATTCAAAGTGTGTTGCTTTTGTTAAGCATATAAATTCGATTCTTGAACGATATATTGCAAAAAGTACGAAGTAAAAATTGATGAAAAAATTAGTTTAGGACTGTTCAAGTCGAGGTTAGCTCGATTGGAGACGCCAAAGGGTTCTTCAAAATTTACAAAAGACAATACTTCCGGTGGTCGTGTGTGTCTTCTCCAATCGTCTTCATCATCGCTCTCATCGTCGCTGCCGGAATTTGAATATTTCTCGTCGAAAGATTCTCTATCTAGGATTTTGTCTTCCTCGTTTGGATCTGTTATCGGATCTGACGGTTCAACTTCATCTAACTTCATCTAACTCTAATTGTGAGCTGCTTCTTGAAGAAATACGTGAGGCCTAGGGTGTAGCGCTCACAGGAAAATCTTCAGCATTTTCATCACCTTCCGCTTCAGAATCAACAGCCATTACATCATCAATTTGAGATAAGAGAAACTCTACATCCCGTGGGTCTTCGAAATTGTAAATTTGCTTGTTCGCCATGTCTGTAATGAATAAGAAATAATTCAGTGGATATATATCATCGACATACTCAGCGGAATAACCAAAAAAATTTACGAAGCCCCTCGTGATTTTATAAATAACATCTTTGCCATATTTGGCGTGAGAAAGTAATTTATGCAAATAAGGGGCCCCAATTATTATATTATAGCGCTGCACAACTAGGAAAGCCGATATGTTTGCAAGGAAAAAGTTATAAACATTTATTTGGGGTGATGCAAAATGTTTTTCTAACCTCACTTTTGTCACAACTTTCTTATAAAAAGTACATTTACAACCCATTTTCGGTTGAGTTACAATTATCGACATATAAATAGTAATAATACTTACATTATTATCAAAAATTAAACCCTCGTTCGCAATCACAACAACGCCAAATCACAGAAAAAAGACCCTAACATTTTTCACTTGGTTTAACAAACTCTGGTAAATATGTTCACCACTTTATTTAATTCCCCACTCTCACCCGTCCAAATGTCATTATATGGTAAAAATAATTACCAGTGAACGTTAGTGGCATGTTAGGGCATAATGAATCATTTTCCAGTGACCGTCGTAGCCAAACTAAGCCTTACGGTCAAGTGGTAAACATACTTACCAGTAACCTATAAAGGGTTAACCAAATTTTATTTTTTATTGCCTTAAAAAAATAGAACTGGCTCGATCCATCTTAAATCACCCAGGCCATTTATGTCGAAAAAAATTTTTTCGGCGATACTTTCAGAAATGGTTGTTTAAACTATTTCAGAAAACAAATATTTTTTGTTTTTGCTCTTAAAGTCAGCGTTTTCGAAAAATTTAATTTTTTCTCTGAGCGCACAAATGCGGATTTTTCATTTTCCCCATAAACAACTTTTTTGCGAACGCTTATAACTTTTGTAAAAATGCATGGATTTGAGTGCTTTTTTTTTAATTTGTAGGTAATTGTTCAATCTACGAAGTACATTGAAAAAAAAATATATTGCGCCTAATTTTTTCAAAATTGTTAATTAAGTAAAAAATAATTTTTTTTTCCAAAATTTCTTTTTTGATAATGCCACATTTTTTTTTCTTTTGATAATTTTTTATATCAATGTGTGATGTATGAACAACAATATATATAAAAGTCAATATGCTAAAATTCGTTTTTTTCGAGATATGATTTTTTTTTAATTAGAAAATGTTTAATACTTTATTGTTTTTACACATTAATCGCCGAAAGCATATTTAACAAATAAAAAAGGAAAGGACGACAGAAAATGGTCTATTTATTAATAAAACTATGTATTTAAAAAATAAATAAATAAATTAAGTATCGAAGTAATGTGTGTTCAGTTAACGTACACGCTCACGCAATAATATCGCCACCAGTTTTTTTACATTTAATTGCTAACGAAGAGTAAATAAAAAGATCTAGTTAGCCATCACCGTTGCTAGGTAACACTTTTGTTTAATAAATAGTTTTGACAGGTTTTGTGTCTCTCATAAATTATCGTTGTTAGCATTGGCGGATCCAAGGGGGGGGCGATGGGGGCGATCGCCCCCCCCCCGGAAGTAAGTTATCAAGTTGAAATTGAACATAACTTTTTAAATTAATATAGAAAAAAATAAAAAAATGGAATAACTTTAATTTCAACTTTCTTATTATTTACAAAAATTTTCAACTCCGCCCCCCCCAATGACACATTCTAGATCCGCCCCTGGTTGTTAGTCAGCTAGTCAATTAATAAAATCATTATTTAAACACGAAAAGTAAACCAGCATCTAAGGTAAGTCATGAAGAAAATAGACGAAAAGTATGTTCAGGGTTTGGAAATAAAATTATATTTAGGATAAGCAAAGAAGTTAAATTAGCAGTATAAGAAAAGAATTGAAAGACTCTTGAAATTATTTTTAAACCAAAATTATGACAAAAATATTAAATAAATATAATTATTTATCGCTATTTATTAAACTACTGTTGCCTGAAACGGTGATGGTTAACTAGATCTTTTTATTTACTTATTTAATTCGCAATTAAATATAAATAATTGGTGGCGGTATTATTGCTTAAGCGTATACCTCAACTGAACATACATTACTTAGGTACTCAATTTATTTAAGGGCCCTGCTTTTTTAAATACATAGTTTTCTTAATAGATAGACCATTTTCTGTCGTCCTTTCCTTTTTATTTGTAAAATATGCATTCGGCGATTAATTTGCAAACTGTTGTGTTTTAAACATTTTATAATTAAAAAAATCATATCCACGCCAATGATTGCGGTTGTTAAAGCATCATTTAATTGAAAATTTAGTCGTCTTTAATTCTTTATTTAAACATTTTTTCCTAAAGGGCTCAGTTTTCAAGAAATTCGCAAATAATCTTAAATAAGTCACTATATTGATATTTGAATTATAGTCCAAAATTAAAAAAAAGGATGAACTACAATTTTGAAAAACATGTTTTTAAACTCTAGGGAGGGTCCTTATTCCGATAGCGCATTCATTTTTGTTGTCATTTTTATGTGACCTATGACTCGTTCATGACCACTGTGTCTAAGTATGAACTCTTTTTTTTTAAGAAATAGAATGTTTGAGATAATTCTTATTGGTCTTATGCTTACGAAGTTATTTCGCTTTTTTAGGAAAAGATCGTATTTTATCAAACGTGCATATTCTGTTGCATAATGAGTTCAGAACGGTTTCCTCGACGAGAGAAGTGTATAGACTTGGAACGTGTACGTGTACGTGTAAAAAAGTGTATGGATCCTCCAAGAATCATCTGCGTCAACTGGAAGAATTAGCAACGCTGATTCAACCTTCGTTACCCATCGGGAAATTTTTGAGTGCCACAGACACAGTTTGTGTTGCCAGCTATGAAAAATTACTCTCACGGTTTTCAGCTCCTCTAGGAAAAGTCACAGATAACGAACTTGACTCAACGCCAAATTGCAGTCCACCGTCTCCATCTTCTTCCGAAAACTTTCATGATTCCGAAGTAGAATTCGACAACTTTAACTCGCAGCTTCAGCTGGACGTATCTCCATTAAAAAAATAAACGATTGTGAAACTACTGTTAAATATGCATCTAATAAACGAAAACAATTAACCACCAACTTCGACTCACAAGTATCTGAGAAAATACGAAAAGTGTTGAATATTCCAGAAGACGAAATGTTCTCTGCTCTATTTTCAAAACTAAACGACTGCGGTTTTTGTGTCAGCTGGACAGAGAGTTTCAACAGATCCTTGGAAAATTGCTCGTCAACCCAGGAAAAGATACGTCTGTTGACTACTATTCCGCTGAATTCACTATCAAGAAGTGATATGCTTATCAGATTTCCTTCTGTTACCAAATATATGATCAGAGAGGCAAAGAAAGTAGTGAAGGAGAAAGGAGTATATTACAATCCAGATCCTTACTGCGGCCATCCTATTGATCAAACATCGATAAATATTGCTCAAGAATACTACTTGAATGATGACTTGGACTGTTCTCGACAAAGTCCCAATAAAAACGATGTCAAAAAAATCGTAGAAAATGGGGCAGAAATGAAAAAAGTGAAGCGTTTCATGACAAGAAGTATTAAAGAAACTTATCAGATATTCAAATAAAACAATCTTGGTGTAAAAATTGTACACTCTGCGTCCAAAGTGGGTAAGCTTGAATTCTCCCTAAGAAGTCTGTCTCTTTATTTATTGTGCCAATTTTGATTTGCTACTTGCAACTTTAAAAAGCTATCAAAAAGATGATAAAAAAAACTGTAGACCGAATCCGGGAGTCAATATTATTATCGATTGTGTGCTCAAGAGATAACAAGTGCGTTTTACAAGAATGTGGGAAGTGTCCGGGCCCCGGCGTCATCACATTAGAACTTCTTGGATTTTCTGAAGATATTGATGAAAATAATGACATTACTTACGCTGCTTGGGAAGATAATAATCTAATTAAAAAAACAACAACGATAAAAAACTATTTAAAACATCTGGTTGAAGGCGTTACAAAGACGAGTCCTCACTTGCGCTTCAAAGAAATACAACAAAAAGCCATTCGTAACGAGAAAGAATCATGTAAATTGCGATCTGATCATTTGATAATTCACGTCGATTTTGCTGAGAATTGGTCGGTTATTTTGAGAGATGAAATTCAAGGTCATCATTGGAAAAATGTACGAGTATCGATTTTTACAGCGGTTTGTTATTATCACAAAGATACCTTGAGCTATGCAGTTGTTACTGATGATCGCAATCACGACTCAGCACACGCTATCATAGCTATCAACATTATTATCGATGATATTCATCAGAAATACCAAAATGCTATAACTAAAAACATAACAATTATATCCGATGGAGCTCCAAGTCATTTCAAGAATCGGTATCAATTTTCCGAATTCGGAAAATCTCCAGGTTCGAGAAAATGGATATTTTCAGCTTCTGGGCATGGCAAAGGAGCTTGTGATGGGGTCGGAGGACTTCTTAAACATTTTGCGACCAACCACAATCTGCGAAAAGGACCACTTGAATGTATTCAAGATGCCAAAACGTTTGCCGGAATAATACAAGGTTATACGCCTAATGTAAAGATCTGCTTACTGGATGATCAGAAATTAAAAAAATTTCGCAACAAAAACAAAAAGAATGGGGTAATTGTAAATCATTGAAAGGAATCCGGCAAACTCAAGTTTGGAAAAAGGAAAGCAACGGAAAAACCTACTTTGCGAAAACGAGTGACCATGAGTGGACAATTGTAAATTGATTGTGCTATTGAATAAAATTAAAATTGTTTATAAACATATAAATATATAAACATATAATATATAAATATTATTCGTAAACAATTTTATTTTTAACTTAAACCATAATATTACAAGGTTGTATGTTACATTTTTTTTTTTTGCTTTTTAGTATCATAAAGCCCTATGGGACAAATACTGCATTTTAAGCGTGGAATAAATTCTCCAGCTTATAGAACCATAATGGTTTTATGAGCTAGAGAATTTATTTCACGTTTAAAATACAGTATTTGTCCCCTAGGGCTTTGTAATACTAAAAAGCAAAAAAATTTAAAAATGTAACATACAACCACAGACCTGGTCTGTGCATACAACCTTGCAATATTAGGGTGACGCATTGTCTGTTATCAAAATTCTATCATATTTATAAAGTCTACAGTTTTCGCTAGTATATATATCATATGATACTTAAATATTCATAGATATCTATATAAAAAAAATCGTGAAAACTCAAAAAATCATATCTCGAAAAAACGAATTTTAGCATATTGACTTTTATATATATTGTTGTTCATACATCACACATTGATATAAAAAATTATCAAAAGAAAAAAAATGTGGCATTATCAAAAAAAAAAATGAAAAAAATGTATTTTTTACTTAATTAACAATTTTGAAAAAATTATGCGCAAATTTTTTTTTTTCTTTAATGCACTTGGTAGATTGAACAATTACCTACAAATTAAAAAAAAAGCACTCAAATCCATGCATTTTTACAAATATTATAAGCGTTCGCAAAAATGATGTTTATGGGAAAATGAAAAATCCGCATTTGTGCGCTCAGAGAAAAAAATTAAATTAATTTCAAAAACGCCGACTTTAAGAGCAAAAACAAAAAATATGTGTTTTTTGAAATAGTTTAAACAACCATTTCTGAAAGTATCGCCGAAAAAAATTTTTTCGACATAAATGGCCTGGGTGTTTTGAGATGGATCGAGCCAACTACATTATTCCTTTCGTACCTGTTATTTAAAAATGGCGAAAGCATTAGTTAAAACACATATATTAAATCAAAAAATAGCCTATAGGCTTATAAGGGACTTGTTTAAGGATTAACGAAAGGATATAATTTAGAAACTATATTATTATATTGTAATACACAAAAAAACCTAAAGGAAAAATAAGCAAACCAACCAGCCTTATAAATCGTAACTGACTCAGGATTGGTAATAGTATCAAAACCGCTGTAAGATTAAAATTGGCCTTAAGAAAAATTATAAATCCCATGTTAAACTAGGGATTTAATTATAATTAGAACTTCGTGTAAAAGACTTCACCCCTTATATGACCCCAAATTCATAAAAGCATTAACTATTTGGAAAACATCTAAGAATGTGGCTATTCGCAAGCGATCCTATTGTTTCAAGTCACCCCTTGAGTAGGAACGAACGAAATTCGGGAATGAGAATTGTCCTGCAGACTCGCAGTCCTGCGCACTGCGCCTTCCTGCTCCACGTGCTTTGCCTCGGTTAAATTTCAACCCTCAATACGATTTCGGCTTTCGGGCGGTTCTGGTGTCAATAGGATTGCGAGTTTTGGAACGCAGTTTTCGTCGAATTTTTCTGTAAAAATTTTGTGTTATTGTTGAAATTATTGAATGTGTGCTTGATAAAGCTCAGTGACTATTTGTTTGGCACAGTGAATCTGTACTTTAGTGATTTTATTGTGTTTATATTTGAACGGTGAAATTTTTAAAGTTGTGACTATTGTTTTTTCCTGGGAGTTGGGTAGCAAATAGGATAATCACTAAAAAAGGTAACAAATTTATAACCCTTTCCATGTATTATAAAAAAAAAATTTGCCTTACCGCTGTGCTATTTTGGGCGTACCTGAGAATTTAAGATTTATATCTATAAATTATTTTATATGCTCATAATAAATAATATTTAATTTATTTTTATATGTATCCATACTAATAAAACATAATTTGATTAGGTACTAACTCTTTTGGTTCAAATACATTAGTTTTCAATTTATTTACCACAGACCTGTGGTATTTACGGATATTCTAGCTATATGCTTTAAATTATGCATTATATTATGTTTGATATAATTTAAGTTGTGATTAATTTAACCCAATTTTTTTTCTGTCTAATGTTTTAAATTAAATTAAAATTAATCCAATTTTAAATAAAAAAAGAGATTTTAGCCCTTTATTGAAACTTTTAAAAATCTTATAAAAAATAATGCTAATAATGATAGGTTATAAATAATTTTGAACCTTTTTTTTAATATTAAATACATACCTATAATAGGGTGGTCCTTATTTGGGTTGTTTTTAAAATGTTATGCTTAAACGATTTTAAAATAATAAATAATAATAATAAAAAGAATAATTATCTAAAAATTTGAGTTCCTATTAACCCCAACCCCACTTTGTAATCGAAGTTTCCTATGAAAAAAACATGAATTATTATTATTTATAAATTATCATCATACTGTCAAGCTTTCATAATATTCTTAACAAAATATGTATACCCAAGAACCAATGGGAAATAAGCAGTGACGGCTGGTGGATTTTGGAACACCCATATCTCAGTTATTAGACATGGGACCCACATCAAATTTATATGAGTTTACAATTACATTATATAGACAAGTTCTGCTCAAGCAGAATTTAAATTGAAGTTTGCGAAAAAAAGTTAGTTTTTAAGTGTGCCCCCCAGCCTTCTGCTCCCCCAAATTAAGATAATTCAAATTAAAGTGGTACAATATTTAATTCACTGCAGTTTATCAAAAAATTTCAAATTTTATTAAAAAATTTTAAGAATTACAGGTTTTATACCATTTTAAATTTTTATTATTTCTTTAACTAAATTAAAAAAAATAGAAATTGCATAAAATCTGTAATACAATTTGAAATTTGTCGATAAACTTCAGTGAATTAAATATTGTACCACTTTAATTTCAATTATCTTGATTTGGGGGCACACTTAAAAACTAATTTTTTTCGCAAACTTTAATTTGAATTCTGCTTGCGCAGAACTTGTCTATATAATGTCATTATAAACTCATATAAATTTGATGTGGGTCCCATGTCTAATAACTGAGATATGGGTGTGCCCAAAATCCATCAGCCGCCACTGGAAATAAGGGCGGTAAATAATTGTCAAAAATGACTATTTTTTTATTAATATTTGTTTACTAAACTTACAGAAAAGATGCAAATGTTGCTCAGAGCCCTGATCAGTGTTAAATTGCCTTTTGTATACTCGAAAATGGCGTAATAAACTTTATTTTAAATAATATTTAATAGTATAGGTACCTATTGTAAAAAGAGTGTTACAATGACCATCATTGATTTATTTTACCTCACAAACGCGAAGCGGAGTGCGGCAATCGTTTTTTTATACTATTTTGTCTATTTTGTCAATTAAAATAAATAAATCTCAAAAAAAACAAGTAGGTAATTCCATTTATTAGCCACCAATGAGTGCACCTTATATCCTTTAATTTTATTTCTTTTTTAACTGTAAATAGACAAGGACCCAATAAGTAAAAAACTCACCTTTTCTTTTCTCCCCCTTCACCTATTTATACAGGGCCATGCAAAAGTTACTGTGCAGACCTAACTTTAAAATATTGTACTTCTTTTGCTAATAAAGCTATAACAACATTAACCTTGTAGTAGTGGCGCCTTATATTTAACATTGGCACAGCACAGCAGTACACATGTGTATTACTTGGGCATTTATTCCAGCCACATTCATTAGCCCATAAAATATGACCATATTGGATAGAATAAAGTATAAAAATATGCTAAATAATTAATATACCACAAAATAGTCGTATAACATAAATGGTGGCGCCCGGCCTTTC